TCCCAATGTCCCAACATGATAACAAAGAAAACATCCCTCCTTTCCCTTCTAAACAATCGGCACTTCCCCTTCCAAAGCCCTTGTCTTGCAAAAACCACATAGAGAGACCCAACAGGAGGCCGTTTGAGGACATTACAAATCTCATAGTTAGAGGCATCACTCCCTCCAACCAAATTCATTTGTCTCCCCATTCTTCTGGTAATCAAATCCAAGACAGACACGGGAAGATGAGGAAGCCTCTAGATGCCATGTTGGTGTATAAGAGTAAAAATTTCAGATAGTTCGCAGCCCACAATTTAGGGCTCCATTTTAGATTTTGAGGGCTCAATGTTATTGATTATACTTCATAAATTATACCATTTTTTATAGTCCAACCATTTCCTATTGTTTGATTCATTCTAAATTTCAAATCTAACAAGAGACATTCTGAGAATAAGAATTGCTTAATCAACCATTTCAATAAGGTAAGGCCTTGGCACCAGAGGCAAATGATTGCTTTATTCCAACACAAGGAAAGCCGCTGTAGATATATTCTAATTCCCAAGAATCCTTTTGTCAGCTTTCTGTGTGTCTAATACACCACAGATGGATGCTCTGCGGTTTGCAACAACCCTGTTGGCACAACACAAAAGCAATTATGGTTAACTGACCGATCCAATGATAACATGATAACTTATCTCTACTTCATGCCCTAACCAGTAACCACAAACCGCATCTTCAGAACATGAATACTTTTGCCAAGTAAAGCTATGGAGTTTGGAAACCATATCTATTTATGGTTCTTCATGTTCATGGTAACTACTTAACATTTGCTCTATTCTAATTTTACCCATCATTGACATTGAGTTTGTTTCAACAGTAAAACATTGCTCCAACCTTTCCCTTTTCATTGTTAACCTCATTGTTTTGTTCCTTAGCATTCTTCTCAAAAAAAGGTATTAAAATTACAATTAAACTTACCCGAATTTGTTCTAACAAACCAAAGAAAAGCCTAACACATTTTGTCCTTGCAGACATAACATAATGCACATGACAGACCATTTCCTGGCTATCATCATGCCTCTCTTTGATGCCATCGATTCGATTTTTTCATCTCTTACTCCCATTGTTAGTACCATTTTTCTTCTAATCATTCTTATGATTTTCTTTTCGTTAGTATGCTGGTCATCCATGACCCTTTTCTTGTACATTCTTGAGGTCATTTTCTGGAATCTTGATAGGAACCGGAGTACTACCCCCAGTCTAATGTCGATCCTGATTCCTGATTCAAATCTACAATCGGCAATGAAGATTGTGGCAGTCGTGACCAGTACCTGTTTGTCAGAAATTGTATGCAACCTTGTAGCGGCTACAAGGGGTGGTCAAGAAGAAGATGGGAGGGAATTTAAAGTATTCAGATCAACAAAAAGTTACGAATTCGATAGAATGTCATCGTACCATTATAATGAGTGCGTAATTTGCTTGGATGAGTTCGCAGATGGTGACTCTTGCAGTATTTTCCCTGTCTGCAATCACGTTTTCCATTTATATTGCATCCATCAGTGGTTGAAGGACCATCCTTCGTGCCCGATTTACCGGACTTCTCTGACAGATTAATTTGATTATGAGCTCCAACGAATTCCAGGACACATTACTTGCTTGGATGCAGAGTCCATATCCCTTTACATTGTACAGAGTTGTGTCATTTTCTATAGCTGCCTTACCTCATCGAATTGGTCCAATGATTCTGGGATATTTCCAGTCAAAATTTTTTTCGATTAAATTGTTGCAAATGTGAAGAAATTTTAACTTAAAATTAGATGTATACATCCCAAATGAAGCAACATTTTGTTGAAGAAACATTGTTACCCGGTGAACAGTACCAAATTTCCGCGTTCCTTTTCTCATTTGATAGTCAAATCATATACAAAATGCTTATCCGGCTCGGGAAAATCTTTATTGTAACAAGGATACCGCGCCTTTATTTATCAATCCAGAACTCCACATCATGGAGTTTTTCAATTATAAGCTCCTTCAATCTAACCCAAGCATGAAGCCTGTGCAATAAACGCAGAGAACATGAGGCAGAGCAGCAACGGAGATGTCAGAGATGAGAACTAGAGATTATTAGCAGAGATGAAAATACCAAATTCAGGATTAATCATAAATACAGAACACATATTTCTTGTTTGATGAAGATAGGACAATTCTTTATTTTGAGAATGAATGAAACACAAAAACTAACACAATTAGCAGAAATGGTATCATCTAACAACAAT